TGGGAGGAATTCTTTTTATAAGGCAGCCCGCTCGCGTCTGTGCATGTCTGTAGGCTAATCCATGCGGTGGGAACCCGAGCCTCGGGACGGGGGGCGAAGGGGGGGAGGCACATTAAGAGCTAATTACAAGGGAGCTCTGTGCTATTGAATCGTTAGTCTGAGCTGGAATGGGGAAGCATTCTGTAATCTGTTTAATTAGCCGACGGAATGATTACAAGGAATGAATGTTCGTGCCGTGAGCCTTGCGTGCTCTGCTCTGCCTTGAACTGCGCGTAGAGACAGCAGCGGAAATGCTGTCCATGATTTTGAATTCACAAGACGATTAGCACAAGACCTCGCTTCTACAAGCAGACATTTAAAATTAGCATGAGAAATCTTTGTGGGGGCAAATTGTGTTTTTGTTTCTTTCCGTTATGCACCCCGAGACATGGTGATAATTAGGAGGGCGGAATTACGTTTTGCCCTTTGTAGATTTTTTACGGTGAAATGTCATTCAAGGCTGTGTTCTCGCATCGTGGTGTGCTCAGTATTTGACCCCGTTTATGGTTTAATTGCTTGAAATTATTTAAAAATGTGATAATTGAAATGACTCAGGGTTTGCGTTTGTTGCGTGGAAATAAACTCTTTATTTTTGTTAAAGTAAAGAGATTTTAATTGCGCTGTGTTTGCTACTGTAATTAATTGTACGGTTTTAAGAAACCATAATTTAATTTCTTTTAAAAAGCTCTGTATGTGAGTATAATGTTATAAACTGGGTTGATGTTAAGGGTAACTCACCCCAAGGAGCATATTCGTCCTTGAGAATCTGATGAAAACAAGTTTCCCGCTTTCTGTGCAACCCCAAGTTTCATAACCTTGTTCACAGCGGCACACAGGTTGGTCTTTGAGCCAACTGAAGCCATTGCAAAACCTCAAAGAGTTTTCTTAACGTCCGTTATAGTAGCCCCCCTCTATGCCTATGTCTCTCAGTGCTCTGTCTTACCGGCAGGTGTCTCTGTGCCGTGCCTCCAATTTGCATACCTAAGTAGCACTCTCCCTCCTTCACAAAGGCTTCTCCATCAGGAGACATCCGTCTGTTTGAGTTAGTTGCTAACAGCTAGCGGCAAAGATGGACACCACGTCGTAATACCGACTGACGCGCGACTGTTAATTGCTGCAATCTTCTGATGATAATGCAACTAACTGAAATGTGTTTTGCATTTGGCTGCAGTGTAAAAGAGCATGACGACAGACAAACGTTAAACAGAGTCCTGCGTACGCTAATCATTAATATCCTTAGGTCCTGTGAGATTAGGGTACGCAGGACTCTACTCCTGTTCCATTTGTCGGTTTGCCGTCATGTCGTTTCCATGGAAACCAAAGTAGGCTATAAGCAAATTACGTAACAATGTGTTCTTGGTGGAAACCTGACGCAACGGTTTATCAGCTGCATGGCGTCGCATGTCAGGCGAGTGGCCTGCGGGAGGCTTCGGTAGGGGCCCTGCAGAAGGGCGACGCCTGAATGCGGAGGAGCAGGATCTGATGACGCAGTGACCTGAGCGACACGTGAGATCTCTTTACAAAAATACATTTATTTATTTCTCACATTACGGACGTACAGAAATGCTGTAATTACATTGCGTTAGCCCTCTGCCTGCTGGGCTTCATTAGCTCAGCGAGGTATCAGGACCGGAAGAAATGTACAGATACTTCCAAATGTTTGTTAATATGTACAGTCTGTCGGTGACCTAACACGCCACTAAACATTGGGAGTAGATGCCAAAGGGTTTAAATAGACGTACTGATTCTGAGACTGAAGGCGCGTGTTGTTGGGGGGGGGGGAAGAGAAACAGGTGCTGCAACCAGAACACGAAGGCTCATATTTGCCTCATCATCACTGGTGATGCAGTTCGATGATTCTTCTTAATATTGCTGTGTCGCAGCCTCCGTGTCACCACCAGCCGCCTGAAATACAGAGCGTGTCATAAGTAATTACACCACAGTGAATGTGTTTAAGTGTGGGCTATTAGTAAGGCCGTCAGTAGCTGGACTGTATGACGTCATACATGAAGAGGATCCGGAAGGAAGAGGATGTGGCCTAGTCGAGGCACACCTCGGTATTAGTACAGATAGACTGAGGAAAACCACAAAATCGTCACTTCGTGTAACCGGTGTTTCAGCGGAGATTCGAAACGAGCACACCCCCCGTAACAATCGAGCTCTACCGCTAGGCGACCAGAATTCAGAGTTTTTAGAATTTAAGGCAGGTGGTACATATAGTTACCACTGCCCTTTAAAGTGATAACAGGCTACTTCTACAATGGAAGCATAAGCCTTTCAGTGAACAAAAATAATTCGTGGAAATGCAATTTGACTTCTGTGTTCGATGTATTTTTTTAGCGGACGCAGTTTACAAATGAAATCTAACTTGATTTATCCACTACCGAGAATTTCAAGTCCACTCTTTGCTGTTGATTCAGCCGAGAGCATGTGAAAGCGTTCTCTCAGATGCTCCGCTTTTTGTAGAACGCGCAAGAGGGACCGGACGGTTTGGAGAGACCCGATGTTTGCTGAGCGCTGTCGCGAGGTGTGAACACGCGCTTCCCGCTTCCATATGTGCCTGGAAACTGTGATTACAGCTCTGGTGGTCAGCCTATAGGCGCATTATTCCAAGGTCCCAGGTTCGACAGCGGCTGTCACTAATGTCAGTGCCACTAAACTTAAAAACCTTGCCCTTACTCCATCAAATCTCTGTTCTTCTTTCGAATTCTTATATTTTAGGATTTCGTATAAGATTTTCCCTTTTATTTTATATTACGAAATTTTGACAGGGACGTGCAATAAACCTTCTGGTTCCAGCTGAGCAACTGTCAGCTTGTCGGGGACTCTGCTCGATGCAGTTAACCTTTTGCAGACTTTTTCAGTTGAACTCTGTTTTAGCAGTTACGTATACTGCTCTTGATTAGGTTCTTGTGGTTCATTGAGATGACGCGAGTTTTATCTGCGCTGACTGTACTCTTCTCCTTGTAAAGCGTGCGGAATGCTAAGAAATGTTTGTTAAGTGCCGAGACTGTGCTGCCGCCTATCTTTATAGCAACGTGTTAATAGGTTGCACCTAACTGACAGCTACAGAACTGAGCGTGTTATAGTCAGGTAAAATTAAAGCGAGACACCGCTTGCAGGAACCTAGCCCCGCTTCAGATATGATTGTATTAACACTGCATGATACTCCCGTGGAACGGTTGTTTCCATAAGCAGCATTAGCCGGTCACTGTAGCGGAGACATAATGTGTTTCCTGTGAAGTACGAACTGAATGTTTATATGTCATTTGGGACGAGCTTCAGGCTTCGTAAATACACTGTGAAGAAGAAGAGATTCGAAATAAGCGTCTCTTGAATACAGAGCTAGACCGTTCCTGCTGAGCTAACCCGCTGGATTCACTGGCTCGAGTTAACGGAGTACAAAGAATCCTTGTGAACATCGCCAATTGGAGGTAAGGCATTGGTCCAGTTAAATGTTGAAATTGCCGCATTACAGAAGCTTCGTGTGGGAGCGGGCATTTAGAGCACGTGGCATTCATATTTCATTATTGCTTTGACCTCTGGGTATCTACGTAGCAATTTGTTTAATTACTCGTAGAGTCGAACAATAATGTTCATATTGATTTCCGTTATTGGCTTTTATATGGAGAGACGAACTTTGTTATCCGAGCTTATATTCTGGGGATCTGATTTTGTTACAAATATTTTATAAATCTCCAATGAATAGTGAACATCTAACAAACAGACACATATGTACGGTTTCCACTATACAATTTAGTAAATTTGTGGATATCTATGCGAGGAATTCGTATTTTTGTGCGTCCGCCATCTCGTGGCCAGCCTTAACGTACAACAGATGAAGGTAGGCAGGCGCCACTAAAATTATACACGGTATTGCTACAAAGGAACAGACGAGCCCTTGCAGTCCGGGCGAACACAAAGCGAAACAGAGGTTTGATCTGACAAAGGTTTTAATTTAAAAAATATGACATTTTAATTTAAAGTCCTGACGTTTCGCTTGTTGATGTGAATGTAATTCTCATCCAAGGAGGGAAAATGTTGAAAATGTTTATGAAATAATTATATGGCAGATGTGTCCAGTTCACTGACGCCCTCTGTCACGGCAGTTTGTCTCATAGCACCTCTCCGCAGAGACTGCGCAGTGGAGGCTTGGTCTTCAGATAACGTAATTAGTCAAATTACTTCCTACCGGCAGGGTCACGGGATCGCTGCCAGACAGAGCTCACTCAGAGCCGCCCTTCTACTAAACCAGCATCTTACATAGAGGTTTAATAATCGGAGGATAAAGATGGCTCAAGCCTGAAGCTGCTCACTTAACACAGTGCTATTCTATATTGTTAACTATATAAAGAATCGTTCCTAGTAGTAGAATTTGAGGTTCTGACACCGGTGGTTATGAAGGTTCTTGTCTTCTGGAATATAACGCTGTATAATCCGTTGGAGGCTTAAAGCTGCCTGCTTCATGGTGGTTTACCGTTTGGTTCATTATCTAACCTTGAAAATGGAGACGACATTCTTTCCGAAACGTCGGGTGAGTTGAAATGCCTAGTACTTAACATTCTGCGCTGTTTATTTCCTGCACTTTGTGCGAGACGTGAATACCACATGATATTTTCTGAATGGATTCATGCACCCTTACTGTTGCCTCATTTTATATTACGTTATGGTCATCTGCTTTACGACAACGCGTGGTCTGCCATGTGGGCAGAGACGATTCCGAGAAAATTAGTGGCTCCATCTTCACTTCAACTTTGAAGGTGAAAGCAGTATGTACCTCAGAAAAGTCACTACAGTACCATCAGACTGCACGGTGTCACATCCCAAGAAACAGTACTCCTTGTAGTGACCGCCGTGATAATCTCAGATCTCGCATCTCTCTGACCTGTGACCGCAAACATCCCCATGTATTCTCGACAAGCCAATAAACACAAGCAGTAAGGGAATGTACGAACACTTACCTCCGCCACCTCCTTTCCACCCACTGCCGCCACCGAAACCGCCTCCGTATCCGCCGCCTCCACGCCATCCACTTCCTCCACTCTTAAATCCGCCGCCATAGCTGCCTCCTCCATATCCGCCGCCACCGCCGGATGAGATTATCTTGTAAATAATCACTTTTCCGCCACTTCCGCCTCCACCATATCCGCCTCCGCCACTGTAACCGCCCCCGCCAAGACCTTTCCATCCACCCCCACCGCCACT